TAATTTAAATATTTTTGCACACTTATTCCACTTATTCCTAGTGTGCCACTGGTTACGGTGCCGCGTGCCAATGCTGGCACGCGTGCCAGGGGTTGCCGACCCCTGGTCTAGACCAAATGTTCTTCTAGCATTGCTAAGATCATGTATGTGGCTTTACATGCTGGTTAATTAACAAACCAGTGGTAATATTGTTGTCATTCTACATGTTCTCTCCAGGTATGCGTGTGTATGTGCGCCTGGCCGCCCACCTGCGGGGTCGGGTCAGTGGCCTGTGTGGTAACTTTGATGGGGACACAGAGAATGACTTTACTACGCGTCAGGGCATCGTGGAGTCTACAGCCGAGCTGTTTGGTAACTCATGGAAGGTCAGCCCCTCCTGCCCTGACGTCGCAGACCAGGACCTCAGAGACCCTTGTGCTGTGAGTTCAACCTGAACCTTTATTAATCCACGAGGGGGAAATTACTGACTTACATGGCGATTTGCCAATACATGAGACCAACTCCTCTCATTTGCCTTTCTCAGCTGAACCCCCACAGAGTGACCTGGGCCAGGAAAAGGTGTGCAGTCCTGACTCAGGAGCTCTTCTCTAGGTGCCACCCTGAGGTGCCTTTCCAGCAGTATTATGACTGGTGTGTCTTTGATGCTTGTGGGTGAGTGAACGCACCGATCTGTTTACATTACATGTGCTTATGCCAATGGGGTCGATAGAAACAGCTTTTTTTATCAGCATCTCTTGCACTGGTTTTACAAATGTTTTTCCAAACTTCCAGGACTTTGCATATTTTTGTCAATGTATATGGGAATGTGTGTACGATAAGTAGTACTGCCTGCTGATGGAAAATGTGTTGCTACAACCTCATGCTTTTGTGTACTAGCCTACATTACATAACCCTATTTATATATGCGTTAAATCCCTAAAAAACACGAATGCTGGAACAAAAGTAACAACAGTAACAGTAAAAGCCTCTAGTATCAAAATACACTACAGGGTTCAGTGGAATATTCATTATGTAAAGATATCTCCATCCTAAACATGTAGTTTCCTAATCACGTTGAATGTTCATATTTTACTCAATCATCATTTATTATTTTGTGTGTGTTTTAGCTGTGACTCAGGAGGGGACTGTGAGTGTCTCTGTACAGCCATTTCTGCCTATGCTGAAGAGTGCAACCATAAAGGGGTCTACATCCGCTGGAGGTCCCAGGAGCTCTGTCGTATGTCACACAATGCGCACACACGCTCACATCTTACTCCCGTCTTTCTGTAACTTCATTTCTTCTGAACTGGTCTTTTTATGATACTCGTATTGTTTCCCTCATTCCCTGCAGCTCTGCAGTGTGACAATGGGATGGTGTATGATCCGTGTGGTCCAGCCTGCTCTTCCTCATGTCCCACTGTTCAGCGGAGTCCTCACTCCCAGTGTGGCACTCTCTCCTGTGTGGAGGGGTGCTTCTGCCCTGCTGGCACGGTCCGACATGGTAAGTCACATTTACTAAAATTAGACAAATTATTAATGATCAGATTGATATGGATATTCATGCTCCCCAATCAACCATTGGACGCACATATATATGCAGAGCTGCTAACTCTTACACATTGACCGAGGAGAGATAGACACTTTCACACTCATGCCAAACATACATTTTCACACTCAATAAATACACATTAGAAATTAGAACCTTTCTAAATTCACTGGATTTACCATCAATTGGCAGTTTACAAAATGATACATTAACAGCTGATATTACATTAAAACGGGTTATAGATGCAATAAATACGTTAAAAAATAACAAGTCCCCAGGTAGCGATGGATACCCTGCAGCAGGGGTTCCCAACCTTTTTTCCCAAGAGCCCCCCCAAATGACTCCTGTTGGAAGTTGCGCCTTTTTATGCCTTTATTAGCTACAGTAGTAACTTGAATTGTTATTAAAATTAATTAATCAATTTTTTAAATATTTTATTGTAATGTAGAGACAAGGCTTTTAGCGACAATCATGTATTGCGTTACAATTATATGTAGCAAAAAAAAAGAAAGTCTAAATATGATATTTGGGCTCAAATCATCTGAGGCCTGGGGCACCCCCTGTGCCCCCCAGGTTGGGAACCACTGCCCTGCAGAATGGTATAAGCTGTTTAGAGATGAAATGGCACCGATACTCCTGGCATCCTTCAATTGGACTCTCCAAAATAATAAGTTGCCGCCATCATGGACTGAAGCAATCATATCAGTCATTCCAAAACCGGGAAGGTCTGTGGGAACTATAGGCCTATTTCGATATTAAATGTAGACTACAAAATCTATACAACCATTATTTCTAAACGATTGAGCACCTTCATAGACGATTTAATAGAAGAAGACCAAACAGGATTTATGAGGGAACGTCAGACCCAGGACAATATCAGGAGCACACTGCATATAGTAGAAGTAGAAAAAGCAAAAAGGACAAAACAAGATACTTTATTGGTAAGCATAGAAGCAGAAAAAGCATTCGATCGGGTGAATTGGGCTTTTTTGTATACAGTGTCAACCTCTTTTAATGTAATATCAGCTGTTAATGTATATACGAAAAACATGTATAACACTGTAACAAAACATGTGGAGAATACAGCAATCATCCAACAGATACTCGAATGTAAAGTTACCATGCTGGAGGGAATATGGAACAGCAGAAGCAGATCATTCACATGTATTTTGGAAATGTCACAAAATAACAACGTTTTGGGGAATGGTTCATAGTACAAAAGATAATCGGATATGATTTCCACAAGAGTTTTATGATTCTTTATTTGGGTAATTTTACGGAAAATGATATACAACCGATGGCTTTCTTGCCGGCTATCAACAACACTTTAACTAAACATCTATCTCTTGGTTGTATATCATTTTCCGTAAAATTACCCAAATAAAGAATCATAAAACTCTTGTGGAAATCATATCCGATTATCTTTTGTACTATGAACCATTCCCCAANTCGGGAGTTTAAATCTCAATGGTTTCCTGGATTATCTTGTCCAATGTGTTTTTCTTCTTCTCTATATAATGTCCATCCTTTCCACTGGTTTTTGATAGTCTCAACCGATGTGTCAGTTTTTCCATTATGTAGATTTCCTCTATATCTCCATCCATTGTCCTTGGGTAGGGATCTCNAAGATAATCCAGGAAACCATTGAGATTTAAACTCCCGACAAGGGCTCTTTTGGACAGTCGTTTTTTATTTTACATTTTTATTTCATTTTTGAATTGCCCGTTGCGCCTTCACATGTGGATGCAAATTAAAATTGTATTTTTGTATGTCAAAGTGAAATGACAATATGTACGTTTGGAATTCATTGCAATTATTTTCAATAAAAACAAAGTAAACAAATAAATAAATACACATTTATAACTAATAATGTCATGACAAGAAAGGAGGGCACTGCAAAGTAGGGCTGCTCGATTATGGCAAAAATCATAATCTCGATTATTTGGTTCAATAATTGTAATTGCGATTATTAAATGCAATTATTCATTGACTTTGAAAACATCCATTTATTGGAGAAAAAAAAATGTGAACAGTATGTTTTTAACAGTTGATTACCCTGAACTTGAAGTATAATTCAACTGAAAAAAAAAAAGTAATAATAATAATACAAAAATAATCATTTTATTTCGATGACGTTGCTTTCATAATCGTTGCAAGCCATAATCGTAATCGCGATTAAAATACGATTAATTGAGCAGCCCTACTGCAAAGTCAGCTACCTTTTTGATTTTGATGCTTCATAGTACCGGTGTTAGGAAATGCCAAAAATGATCACAGATTCTTACAGATGATATATTAAAAAAGCACTGTTTAATGTGTGATGTCAACCACATTTTATATGGTAATAAATGTTTCCAGGGTAGGTGAGCTATGAGACATTTCATTTGCTGTCAGAGCACATTGCAGAATTACAGCTCAAATTACAATTTTATACATAAATAATTATTATAATACATATTTTCCTTTTGTAATTTGCTTACATTTCCAATGTAATCTTGTTTAGGACGACCCTGATTTTTGTCGTGTGAAGTTTAAAGTTAAATTACTGTAAAGATTTTGAGAAAGACCAAATTCTTTCTTCTCGTGCTACCCTCAGAACAAACTTGTTTGCCTTATAACTGTAAAAAGCTATGAGAAAAGAAGAATTGTCAGTATGTTTTCTGCTCTACAGGGGACAGCTGTGTAGTTCCTGTTCAGTGTCCATGTGAGTGGGAGGGCTCCATGTTTCCACCTGGAACTACCGTCACTCAACACTGTCAGAACTGGTCCGTCAATCTAAAGCCTGAACACATATCTTTTTGCTCCTTATAATGATCAAAATTGAAGTCAGAGTGGTGTATTTGCCTTTGTGTGTCCAGTTCCTGTGAGGCTGGTGTGTGGCAGTGTAAGGGTGTGGCTTGCCCTCCTGTTCGCCCCCCCTGTCTGGAGTCAGAGTTTACCTGTGCTGGGGGGCGCTGCATCCCCTCCCAGTGGGTGTGTGACAACGAGAATGACTGTGGTGATGGTTCGGATGAGATCTGCCTGTCCACCTGCGCTCCAGAACAATTCCGCTGCACCAGCACGCCAAGGTGAATCCTAACTCACTTTACTTATAAACAAGCTAACTTGAATGTGTGGAGATAAGGACGTTTTATAACTAAGGAATCAAAATGACCTATTATAAATCAACCCTTAGTTTGTAGGTTAGACTTGGCATTTCTAACCGACACAAATATTTGCCCTCATGATAGCAGTGTTTGTGTTTTTAGCCTCCAAAAATATTGTTCCATAATATTGCTCACTTCAAATAAATATACAGTACTTCTTAAATACATTTATAATTGTAAGAGGATGAATCCCATGTAAGCTAAACATTACATGCAAGCTACAACCCAGAATGTTAACGTGGTAATATCTATGATTCACATCAGCGTGTCGACGTTTTTGAATTAGAATGAATTTCCTGTAGTGAATTAACCCCAACATCTGCAGTGGACCCTGTTTGAACCAGGCTCTGCGATGTGATGGTCGCACAGACTGTGCTGACCAATCAGATGAGGAGTTCTGCGGACCCGCCACCCCCATGCCCCTGTGCCCACCTGGGGAGTTTCAGTGTGCAAATGGAAAGTGCCTTCCAGGCAGCCGTGTGTGTGATGGGCGGCTGGACTGTGGTTTCGCTGATGGGTCTGATGAACAAGGTCATCTGTCACTTATCCAGCAATATCACCTAACTGAAAACACTCAACAACAACAACACTTTATCAAAAGTATTCCTTTAACAATTAAAGGATGTCTTGTTCCCTTTGTTTTTACATGTGTTGAACTGTTCTTGTGTTGCTCCAGACTGTGGTGTGGTGTGTGATGAGGGGGAGTTTCTGTGTGCTGGAGGACGTTGCATTCTCTACCTCCATCGATGTGACGGACACGATGACTGTGGGGACCTCAGTGATGAGAGGGGGTGTGTTTTCTTTTCTGCTTACCTTTGGTATTTGGGATAGTCAATGGCTAATTGACATTTATTAATGTACTTTGCAGAGTTTATTCTGCTGAGTTTATGCAGCATACAATCTTGACACTTTCTATATTACCGGTAGTTAACCTCAACATACTGACAGTTACATCAAATAAAGGAGAATTATTTGCAAATATTCCTCAGCTAATATTGGTCGCAACATATACTTTAGTCTTTATTTTTGTTTTCATTTTGAGCATCATTCCCCCATTAAATGATGGATTGCACTTGATGATGTCATCATAGTCAGAGATGGGGGAAGTAGTCAGATCTCCTACTTAAGTAAACGTAGAACTGTAAGAATACTTAGAAGATAAAGTCCTTCATTCAAAATGTTACTCAAGTAAAAGTTAAAAAGTATTAGCACCAAAATATACATGAAGTACGAAAAGTTAAAGTATTGTGTTCATTATACACATTGGCACATTTCAGAATAATATATATCATATATTTTGATTATAATTAACGGTGCATTAATGTGTTTATCAAAACTGGGAAAGGTGCAGCTAGTTTGAAATACTTTGCAAACTGTAGGGTAGTTTTTACATTTTATTCCATGTGTAACTAAAGTATTTTTTAAGGGTTGTTTATGTTTCAAATCATGACTCCAAATTTGCAAAGAAACTAAAGGTATTTAATAAATGTAGTGGAGTAAAAGTACTGGATTTACCTCTGAAATGTAGTTGCAAAGTAGCAAAATATTTGACTCAAGTAAAGTTCAAGCCCACAAAATCATACTTAAGCACAGTACTTTAGTAAATGTACTTAGTTACTTTACACAACTGATCATAATCTCATTTGTTTTGGCTTACTATAGGTGTGTGTGTGCACCGGGGGAGTTTCAGTGCCCTGGGGACCAGTGTGTCCCTGCAAACAGAGTGTGTGACGGACACACAGACTGCCCCTCTGGAACCGACGAAGCTGTCTGTCCAAGTAAAGGTAGAGATCACAACACAGCATTTAATTGACTGAGCTTTAAGTTTAATACACATTTGCCCGTAGCCATCTCCCATTAGTGACCAAACCTCATCCTTTCTGTGATTGGCAGTGACCTGTGCTCCTGACCAGTTTGCCTGCAGTGACGGTACATGTGTCACCACCACTAAGCTGTGTGATGGAACAACAGACTGTCCAGGTGGAGAGGATGAGAACAGAACCAACTGCCACACTGCAACACCGTCACCCTCACCTGTCACCATGCCAACTTCAGGTAACAGTCATGATTGAGGAAGATTTTATTTTCAGTATTTAGAATTGTTCTTATACATCCCTGTTTTTCCAGCTTGTAGGTTCTATGAGTTCAGCTGTGCCACTGGTGGGCAGTGTGTGCCTCAGGCCTGGCGCTGTGATGGGGAAACAGACTGTATGGATGGCAGTGATGAGCAGCAGTGTACTACACCCTGTGGCCCTGGCCAGGTGCCCTGTCTGATTGGGGACCAATGTGTGGACTACCAGCAGCTCTGTGACGGGACCCCGAACTGCAGGGACGCCTCAGATGAGAGTATTGACAGCTGTGGTAAGTTAATGTAAAGTGATTCATCATCAGGCAAAAAATAAAAAGGATTTCTCTTAAGACAATGAGGATAATTCTGTCCCTCTGCTAGGCTCTACTCGGATCCCTCCCTGTCCAGGAAGCTTTCTATGTGACAACCGGACCTGTGTGAACATGTCGCAAGTGTGCAACGGAGTTCCAGACTGTCCACGGGGCGAAGATGAGTTGGTGTGTGGTGAGTTCTCATGAGATAGGAGAGGACAAAGGTTATAACCGGGGCGAATAGAAGAGATAAAGCATAGGACCTGACAAAATGTTTCAAATTGGAACACAGGGAATATAACTAAAACGAAAATGAAACAAAAGAAACAAAAGAAAAAAAATTGAAGAGAGTGTTCATTCCAATCTGTCAGATTCATACAGATTAATTTGTTTGGTATGTTTAATTTTTTTCCTTATTTTGCTCTGTCTAGATAAAACTGTCTCACCAGTGCCCCCTGGCAGAGAGAACACCACTCTTACCTGTCCTGAATTCACCTGTATGGATGGATCCTGTGTCCCCTTCAAAATGGTACGTCTGAGACGACATCATATTCAACAAGAACAACTGAAACTTAATACTAAGTTGGTAGTACTTAGGTGAAAGGTGACCTGGTAGTTAAAGATAAAATAGGGATATCATTCTATTTTGTTTAGAGGGACGACGTTAGAAAAAGTTTCAGTTGCATTGCAGTGAATCCGAAAATTAGGACATTACATCCCTGAAAGGTTTAGCAATCATTTTACATTTTTCAGAAAGTTTGTAAAGTGATATATGGACAACTATCAAATTAAACAAAAGAAGAATCAGTTGTGGTAGCCTTGTCTAATTAGCAAGGAAGTTGGTTGGCCATCACAGGCATGCCATTTATTAAACATGAAAACATTTCATTCTTTCAGTTTGTGTGTACAGACAGAGAGATCAAAATACTGTTTCCCACAATCTCAACGCAAAAAAAAAAAAAAGAAAGATATACAAATATGGATACAAATATGTATATACCGTAATTTTCGGACTATAAGCCGCGCCTTTTTCCCTATTTTTCGACGCTGCGGTTTATATAACGGTGCGGCTAATCTATGGATTTTTACAGCTAACGGCCAACACCTTTAACTCTATGGGCTCTATGGCCGGTCCGCGGACCCCCACCTTTAAGCGGCGGGTTCCAGCAGGAAAAGCTGGAGGCCGGAAAAGAGTGAGACAGGTAGCGCGCAAAAGTAAAAGTGGAACCGAGAGTGGTATGCCGCTGCTGCGGCTTATATTCAGGTGCGCCTTATAGTCCGAAAATTACGGTACATAGAATGCAGAATCCTGAAGAAATTGCTAGTGGGAATGCTTTATGCTGAAAAGCTGACGCTAAACTGCTATGCTAAAATGTAATGTGTAAGAAGACAGTGAAACATTTAGATTGAAATGATACATGAACACTGGGGGCTTGAATGTGTGATGAGAGAAGAAAAGAAAGTAAAAAGGCTTGGAAAAGCAGCAGAATATTTGAACTGCAAACTTTTGACCTAACTTGATGGCGAATGATCTGTTGCCATGCCAACGGCATTTGATGACATCCCATAATATGCTTAGATGCGTTGATGGCTGCTTGTTACCAAACCTGTGAAGTTTTGGGCCGTTTGGAGCATTTTCACTGAAGTTATGAGAAAACCGTGTTTCATGGTGAGCATTGTGCTGCCATGGCAACGGCAATTGAGGAAATCTCAAAACTGTCGCGTAGATGTCTTCACGGCTGGACTGTTAGCACACATGTGAAGTTTGAGCATTTTTTGAACATTTTCATAGGAGCTATAACGACATCGTCTTTTATGGCGAGGGATTCAATCCCCCAGCCGTTTCCATGGAAACGGCATATGATAACACCCCATAATTGACGTAGAGCTGTTGAGGGCTGGACCGTTAACCATTATCTGAAGTCTTGTG